CAACCACGTAGGTGCTTAAACCACTTTGACTCGATGTACAGTGTTTATTTGTCATAAGTCTGTGTGTTATGCACAAGCAACTCACCGTCGCCAAGAAAAATAATGCAGTAATTTGTTACAGAGGGTCCAAAGAATCTCCATCAGGCCGGTTTCCGGAATCTCATAGCTGACGCATGACTAGAGACTGTCTAAAATAAACCTCTTCCACCTGTCATACAAAAAGACCAGATGTAATGCATTCACTTTTAAAATTAGTTTTGAATCGCAAATGACCTAGTTTCTGACTTTATCCAAAGTCGAACGTTTATATGGGCATTCCTGAAACACCCACAAGTTTAGCAATAGCTACATTCTAACTGCCGACTTCCCATCAAATCATTAAAGAAATGGATATATATATATATATTTAAGCTTTATAATTCTATATTAATCCTTGGAAGACCATACTTGTTACCACTTTAAGTAACAGGGTTTTGTTTGTTTGTATTTGATTAGAGTTGTAAATGCAAACGGACATCTTTTAAATACATCGCGGGATATCTGTTGGTCTTTATTTTCCTGCAAGACTCTAAATAATCTAGTTTTAGGTAATCAATCAGTTCCGCTTGATTAACTGCTTTTTCATACATTTTCGAGTCAGTTTAAAAATAAAAACGAAGGGATTCACCAAACGACGTTAATAACATCTTCACACACGCATATGGGTGCATATGGGTATGTGAAGATGTAAGGGACACATGTCCAATCTTTTAAGACGCTTAATGATAGTCGAGAACTATAAGGTTTGTCATTAAAGTGTACTTATACGTACTGCAAAGACAACATGTCGTTGGGGTTCTTGATTTCAATTTGGTAAAAACAGGAGCCTGAATGGATTGTGTTGCCCTAGTCGTTGGAGTCTCGGTTGACTTCTTTTGGATGGTTCAACTTACGGAGCTCCAGTTGCGTGTTGAGGAAGAGTCTCATGGTTTAGATTTTTTGATAGTAAAGGCAGTAGTCAACTGACTAGTAATTAGTGCTGGATTTGTGGACGTTTTTTGGACGTCTCCCTCAATTTTCTGTTCCAGAGGACAAAATTGTGGCGTTTCAGGTGTTAAGTCAGTATTAAGCAGTTTGATGACAATAAGTTAGTAATCTCGTCCTTGTATATAACAAAATGAATAGGTTTAGTTTAACCGGTTTCACTGTACGTAAGCATAAAGGTTCCAGTAATAGACTTAGTTGCAGTTCCTTTATCCTTTTTTAACAATTTAGTCATTTCACATTACTAGTATGTAAGACAGGAGTGACTTGTCATGTAATTGTGGTACTTTTTAGGAAGTCGTGTTTTCATCTAGGTACTCCACCTTACTAATAATCTTTTTATGGTCATGAAAGTACATTGGCTAAAGGTACTGGACGATGTTTCTAAAATTTATGCCTCGTACCTGTCTGGAAGACAGGACTTACTATGGGACCACTCCAGTCATTCGGTAATCTACTTTGGATTGAAGATAGATTAAAATATACTTAAAGGACTTATGTTGAAGTGTGCTAGTTGCTTAGTAGCTTTCAATGCATTCCATCCGATTCCATGAACCTTGTTACCAGTTTAATTGGTATACAAATGAGGTCAAATTCTTCGCTATTCACAACCTCCAGAGTGTGTGTGGCAGGATATATTTATTTTACATATTTGAACATAAATATTAGTACAAAGGGGCACCGGATACATTTGCGCCACACAATAATTATGGTATTGATCTCCATCCAGGAGGTCCACTTATCGACTTAGAATACGCAGATGACATGTTTGGTGAAGATGCTGACAAAATGCAGAGTCTTTTGGTAGCACTAAGCAACAATGCCAGAATGTTTGAATGCGCTTCTCTCCCTCGAAATGCAAGTTGTTGCTTCAGGACTGGTCTGCCTCAACACCTGAACTAAGGATAGGGAATGAAGTAGTGGAACGCGTTGACAACTTCACTTATCTTGGAAGTCTGATCAGTCCTAGTGGGTTGGTGTCTGATGAAATCTCAGCACGGATTCGAAAAGCTCGTTTGGCTTTTGCCAACTTACGTCACCTTTGGCGAATGCGAGATATCCGTCTATCAATAAAAGGACGAGTATACTGCGCGGCAGTCCGTTCTGTTTTAATTTACGGCAGCGAAACATGGCCATTAAGAGTAGAAGACACTCGTAAGCTATTAGTATTTGACCACAAATGCCTTAGAAATATTGCTGGCGTCTGCTGGGATCACCGGATAAGTAATAGGGAGGTTCGACGCAGGGTATTAGGGAGTGATGGTAAACCAGTTGATGAGGTTATGGATCTTCATCGACTGAGATGGTTGGGCCACGTGTTACGTATGCCTGAACACCAATTACCACGACGTGCAATGCTATCCGGTATTGGAAATGGTTGGAAGAAAGTTAGGCGCGGCCAAACCAAAACGTGGCATCAGTGCTTGAAGTCACTAACATCTGGTCTGAGCCATGTTGGTAGATGCAGACTACTTGGTTGGGGTCCGCGTGACTTTCGTAACCAATGGTTGGAGACTCGGTGACATGGCTCAGAATCGATCACGATGGCGTCGGTGTATACACTCCCTGTCTTCCCTTAAACTAAGAGATTCAAATCACTTCATATCTTTGTTTCTACGAACCAATTCTTTCTTCTTGTACTATATCTCTATATGCAATGTTCCTCTTATTTATTACCACCTTTGACCTTACCACTGCTATGAATCCGGTGTTCATCTTGTTGTGCTGATGCGGTATGGCAACCTGGACCGATGCACATATGTGCCTGGTCCTACGTTGTAGCTGACTGACTGACTGATAATAATGGAAATGAGAAGAGAAAAAAGGTGAGGAGCGTGGAAAAAAGAACAATAACGGACAGATCAGTGTAAGGTAATGTAAGAGTAATAAAAATAATAGTAATAGAATTAATGGGGAAAACGGAAAAGCATAATCTGTTGAGGAAGAAACAACCATTTTTTATAAAGAAAGTAAGAGGTTACAGCAGGATCGCTACTGGCTTCTATTCTGAGCCATATCTGATAACGTCTCTAGCCACTGTTGCACCACCTTTCGGACCCCAGCCAGGGAGTCGTGAAAGACCGATAGGAGCCAGCCCGTTGCAGCTTTCTACCACACCCCGACACCATGTCATACACTGACCACCTCTCCGCTTTTTCCAACCAGTCCCAGTGTCGGAAAATAATGAACGGCGGGGAATTATCTGGGACGACATTCGTAGAACATGTCCGAGCCACCGAAGTAGATGTTTCAAGATAGTGACACCAATTGAATTATCGCCTCTGCGCCCGAATACACGATGCTAAACCTCTGCATTACTAACATGGTGTTTCCCACTGAATGTCAGCAATCCTTCGGAGTCAACGATAACGAAACACAGTCGTCTAACATCCTCAACTCGGAGAGGCCAGGTTTCCCAAACATCGAGCAAAACTGCTCTCACCGACGCGTTGTAAATCCGACCTTTCACAGCCAGACTAACATCACGAAGGCGCCAAAGATGGCCCAGATTGGCATAAGCCGCTCCGGCTTTTATTATACGTTCATTGATCTCATCACTCACGCCACCACCAGCACTTATGTAGCTACCTAAATACACGAACTTTTCGACTACTATCTGCTCACTACCCAGGGTGAGTACAGGATCAGGGTCCTGCCAATCTTGTAGAAGTACTTTGCACTTCGAAGGTGCAAAGCACATACCATACTTACGGACACTAATTGCCAACTGATTGCGGATTGCATGGCTTGGGCAATATCGCACAGTAAGACTATCATCCGCATACTCAAGGTCGAGAAGTCTTTCTCCGGGAAACAGAACAGTTAACTAGTGGTAAAATTCATCTCGAGAGGTGCTTCTATTGTATGTTCGTTGCTAAAATTGTCCGATAGTACGTGAAATTTGCTATAGTTGCCTTTAGTTAGTTCTGTTATAGCTTCACCTCTATAAACTGCCATTATATGACCCCGTTCATCTGGCTTATGTAAGAAATTAAGCGTTTTAGGTATTTTATGGAGTTCTTAACAATATTTTGTTTGTAATCCTAAACGTGCGTAGGTCTAAGGCATGAATATTTCTAGCTTTCTGATATTAAGACTTAGTCTCGTCAAAACCCAGTAATCTTCCATATCCTTTCATTTCTACGGAAAATGTTATGAGCTTCTTTGTGAAACCATGATAGGGAGTTTCTTGGTTGCATTAACATTTGAGTACAATTTCTCAAAGATCTGAGACGTTTTCACAAGGAATCGGGGTTTAGTACCTCAACCTACTGAGAACTCTCCATGATTCCCTGCATATTTCATTGGTGAAAACGTTTTGGTCCTAATAGTCCGTACGAATTAAAAGCCCTAATATACAGCGTTAAATACAGTTGCAAAAACGTCATGCTGTTTGCTGGATTTTTTGCTAGCGATTTTCGTTTCATAACAAAGTTTTCAATGAAAGATAGGCTTCGTTGATCAGAACAATTTGGAGGACCTTATAATAAATTATTTGCTAGTAGGCCTCTCAGCGATAACGAGGAAAATGGCTGGTGAAAACTGAGCTATTGAGGTGTTTTACATACTTGACGTCCGTATTGAAGACTGTGACTTTGATGTTTGTTGACAGACAGTTGTTTTGAGTTCCATATGTTCATCAACTGTGGGAATGCTGCCCTGGCTTTGTCAATTTTTGCCTTTACGCCTGCATCAGATCCTCCTTGTTTATTGATGTTGCACAGGTATGGCTTTTAATACACTGCTACTAGTTAAGTAGGAGGCAGTTATATTTCACACTGATTTGTTTCTCTGCTAACAGTAATGACGCAGGCGAATTTAATTATTTACCATTCACTTAGCTGTTTTGAAAAGTAATGAAAACCACAAAATAGTTTCTTTTGCCCCTGTGTTGTATCACTGTAATTTAGTTAGTTGTTAGGAGTTCAGTCTTTCCTCATCAGGAAATGTTTGTCCCTTTCTGTTTTAGTTCCATTATGACTCTCTCTTTACGCTGCTCTGTTGTGATTGAAGAGTTAGCTCCTGACAAGTGTACCGTAAAACGTCGCACAGCACTTCGTGAATCGCAAATTTCAGCAGTTAGAGATGACTTACAGCAAATTCTCATACGTATCACTCCTATGAACAATTCAGGCTGCAAAAAGATGGTGAAGAAAAGCATGGGTTATCCAGTCATTGAATTAGATCTTTACAAAAACTTTTTATCACAAGGCAAAGCCACTATATGTTTACCAGTTCATTCTGTCAGAATAATGATTAGTAACTGTCCACCAGATAAACTTCGTTTTTTCCTCGGGACTCTTCGTACCAAATTAAAGACACAAAAGACTCACATTTTGAAAAGACCAGTACCACCGGATGCTCCTCCTACATCTATTTCACTTCTAGAAGAAATAAGTCCACTACCTCTTACAAAGAAAATCAACTCTCACCCAAAAGTCATAGAACCATTTTCTTGTGACATGTCTGTCATAAACTTTCAAGATGGTAGGTATAATGATTTTATACTAATGTTAACTGATTTATAGTGAAGATCAGAACGAATCCCAGTTTTCCTGAGACCGTTCAAAATATCTAAATAATAATATCTTTTCTAAACGAATACCTGCATCTTCTCTGTAGTTGATTTATATGTCCAACATTCGTCACCAAATATTTTATGGTCATTCATGACTTTTGTTAGTTAAACTCTGGAATTTCATCCTTCTGTGTTTTAAGAGGACTACTCCATCAATAAAATTCATATCCTGTTGGGATGTGCAGTCTTAATTTACAATTTATAGGAATAAAAGCAGTTTCAATTAGGTTTAAATACTATTACAGTAAATTATTCTGTGTAAACACTATTTGTAAGATTTCAATACATTTTTACTCAACAAATATTGTTATATCCGAACAAAGAATAAGTGAATGGTAATTGCTAGTAACTATTTGTGCTGTTACGGGTATGACTGACTGACTGCTAATAACTATTTATGGACTATCATTACATATGTCCTTATTGGATGATTATTAAGTAACGAGATTTTATATATATTCATATTCCTTTTATCATAAGCTTTCATTTAACTTGTTAACTGTTATTATATGATTTACTATTCTTAAGTTATTCTCAGTCTATTTGTTACATCTTACACTCAGCCACTTTTGGTTTGATGGTTTGATGCAGTCTGATTTGCTTGTTTATAAACAGCGTATGTCTGGAATTTATGGTTCATACAGTGAGAGCTGAGGTTGTGTTCTGGACTCAATGAGCAGTGCTAGACGAGAATAACTAGTAAGGACTCAGAGTTGGCTCTAGCCTGCTCGTTCTGTTTTGATGTGGCATTGGTTTGTGTTCTGATTAGCAATGTAGTCGCGTAATAATTAACAGGGCAAAAAGACGTAACAATATAGGAACAAATCCTGGTAAAATGAAAGTAGACACCAACCATATTAACTATTGTAGAACAATACAAAACCGGTAAATGAGTTAACGCGATTGCCTACTGTATACAGAAGGGAAATAAAGTTAATATGGACAGCCAAGTATTATCGCCAGTCGCCATAATAAGAATCTAACTCGGCGCTCAATACGTGGATGTTTACAGAGTTACATTGGTTGCGTATTAAATTACATCGAAACGGATTAGGTCGTCTAAATGTGCTTATAGTATTTTGACTCTGTATATTCAGAAGACAAAAGATAGCTAAACCATCTTTTTTAACGTCATAGCAGCAGCAATGACGTGTATCAATTGTTTACTGTAAATTCGATAAATCCTGATTTCAAACTTCTAGGCACAATCCTTCCATTTATCACTCTATCATACACTTGTTTATAGAAGTCTCAAGTACCTGTTCACCAAGATGTGGATCCTTACACTCGACTCCTCTTGTTTCCACACCTGTACGAAAGGTCGCAACAAAAAGTCGTGGAGACAATAATCGGCCGTTTGGTCATATCTTTGGTTCACGGGAATTTGATATTTCAAGTCAAAAAGGTCAAGACGAACAAATGACAGTCATAAATTTCGTAAAGCAAGGGTGCAATGTTTTCTGTACTGGTGGTGCTGGGACAGGAAAATCTCATCTCATTCGTCGCGTAGTTGGTAAGTAACTATATATATATATATTCCTTGTGGAAGATTTCTTAAAAAATGTATTGGTTACTCTTCATAGAATCTGTCACATTGCTTAATAGCTTTTGATCAGTTATTTGAAATCACTCTTGCTTTACACTCCAACCATTTATTTTTATTCGTCAGTGTACCCAAACAGTGTTATGAAGGTCAAGATTTCTTTGTATATTGTCATTAGTTGCATCTATGTTTGACGACTGTTGCAATTGTGTGAGAAACTTTATAGTCAGCGTGTTAGATTGTATGTGCTCCCATGGGTGGCAATTTTCTTCATGGGTCTTGGTATATTTGTTCTGCATAATCCTATTGTAAGATGGGTTAAGTTTTTTCGGATTGAATTTATGGGACCATCATCAACCCCAAGTAATGTATACGACGGAATGTTTTCCGGATGTAAAAATAAAGTATCAATTTAAAATATGTGCTCTTAGTTTGTACGTGGTAACGGTAAAACTTTCTGGTGATATTCAAAGTTAATATATTTATAAATGACCGTTTTACTACTCATTATAAATAGTAGTATAACATTGTAAGGATAATTATCATCTGAAGTGATTTTCACGAATTAAAGACAATCACTACTTAAAAACATTGTCATCATATATATATAGTTGTGAAGTTTTTTACGTGAGACTACCGTAGCAGATTTCTGTTTCTACTGTTTATCAAGAAGTTGTGTTTCTTAAATATGCAGGTCTACTTCCACCGGAGTATACTGCTGTAACAGCTAGTACAGGATCAGCTGCTAATATTATTGGTGGATTGACAGTACACGCGTTTTCTGGATTAGGAGGTTTACTTGAGTCAGATCTAAAAATGGATAAAGATAACATTTTGGTTTGGATGGAGATTTTGCGTACACGTTAAAATTCCGTCCAGATATAGTAACTCGCTGGCAAAAACTGCAATATCTTATCATTGATGAAATTAGCATGTTAAGTAGCAGACTGTTTACACGTTTAGAACTTATAGCCACTGAGTGTCGCCGTTCAATGAACAAAATTTCTGAACAAAAAGCTTTCGGTGGCATCCAGTTGGTTATCTTCGGCGACTTTTTTCAACTTCCACCTGTTGTTCATCCATCTGAGGTAGGTTATAATAAACCCAAGATTTACAAACCTATACGATTTACTTTTATTTTGCATTGATACAGTGTGACAGGTTGAACAGTGTGTTTCTTTTCTATTTTTAATGGCAAGTATGGAAACTTGGGTTAACGTATGTTTACGCTAGATCGATGCTTTCAATAATGGACTGAGGTTTTAATCGTCAAATTTCTCCAACTATTGCATTAAAGACGTATTACAACCGTAACTCAAAACTTTTTCCATTTAACCGGTTAGCCATCATGGAGGAGCGCAGGCCACCCACCAGCATTTTCAGTTTGACTCTATCGTGGGAAATCCTTTCCAGTTGCTATTCGTTGACTTGATATCTGCTTCCGAATCCCGACATAATGTGCTCCTTGGTCTTCCTCTTCTCACTCCCACTTCCGGATTCCAAGCTAGCTCCCGCCTCGTGATACAGTTTACTGTCGATACCAGGAAAAGTTTTCAACAAAGTGCTGTTGAACCGGATGAAAAATTCAGTAGATATCCAGCTTTGAAATCAACGAGCCGGATTCCGTAAGGATCGGTCGTTCACAGACCAAATCGCGACACTACGAACCATGGTTGAGCAATCAATTGAATTGAATTCGTTATTATACATCAACTTCTTGAACTATGAGAAAGCGTTTGAAAGAGTGGATAGGAGAACTTTACGGAATTTTCTTCGACACCATGGTGTACCTGAAGATCGTCAACATTATACGGAATTCATACGACGGACTACAGTGCAAAGTGGTGTATGTAGGATAGCTGACAGACGCATTCCAAGTAAGGACCGGAGTCAGACAAGAACGATTACTCTCTCCCTTTCTCTTTCTTCTGGTGGTTAATTGGATTATTAAAATGTCCACATCTCAAGGAAATCATGGAATACAATGGACAGGTTGGATGCAACTAGACGATTTGGACTTCGCAGATGACCTAGCTCTTCAACCCATACACACCAAAAAAGCATGTGGAGAAAGTCAGTATAGCAGCAACCTACTACGACCATCATCAAAAAAGTTCAAGTATTTATAACAATTGTCTACACAAGATACCCAATATCTGTTGGCCGGATACCATCAGCGACATCTCACTGTAAGAGAAAACGAACAAGCTTCCAGGTAGAGGTAGTTAGAAAAAGACGCTGGAGGTGGATCGGACACATTAAGGAAATCACAAAACTGCATCACGACTTACTTAATAACCTAATTACCTACTCCTGTTACTTCTCGTGGAGGAGCATTGGCCTCCCACCTGGATTCTCAATCGAAATTTGTCCTGTGCAATCCTTTCCTGTTGTTCTTCCTTTATTTACTTTTGTACAGAGCTTCGATGTGGATCCATTCCTTATAGTAATGTTGCTTGCGGCCCAGCACTACTGACACGTTGAAGTTAGTACTTCTCTGATCCTCTTTCACTTGTCCTCCATAGCAGTTTCTTCTTCATCCAGATCTTGTAAGGCTTGGAGCCTGTCGTTGAGAGCTATATTGAATTCGTTTAGTTTGTCGCTATCTCGAAGGAAGGCTTTGTTGGACCTTTGTAATACAGTTTCTCCAGCGGTTTAGTGCTTGTCTAGCTTCAGTTTCATCTTGACAAACACCAGGTCGTGATCTGAAGTTGCTATGTCAGCTCCTCTCTTGGTCCTCACATCCTTCATTGAGCTTCTGAATGTTTTTTAGTGATGCAAACATGGCCGATCTCGTTCTCTGTAATGTGATCCAGTGAGACCCATGTAGCTTTGTGTACGCGTTTGTGGGGGGAAGAGGAATACAGTACCACCCATAACCATTTTGTTGAATGCATGTAAATCTGCAGATCTCTTGCGATTGTCATTCTTTTCTCCCAGTCCATGTCGCCCCATGATATCTTCTCACCCGGCGTTGTTCATTCCAACCTTGGAGTTTAGGTCTCCCGTCAGGATGACCAAGTCTTTTCCTTGACACTTCACTACGACCGATTGCGTCCCCTCGTAAAACTGGCCTTTATCGTCTTCATTGCTATAATTGGTGGGTGCATGACGTTGGATAGGATTCTTTGTGATCTCCTTTGTTTTGAAGGATGCTTTGATGATTCTGGATCCATGGTTAGGGGCGGCCAAACCAAAACGTGGCATCAGTGCTTGAAGTCACTAACTTCTAGTCTAAATCATGTTGGGAGCTGCAGACTAATTGGTTGGGGTCCGCGTGACGATCGTAACCAATGGTTGGAGACTCTCGGTGACACGGCTCAGAATCGATCACGATGGCGTCGGTGTATAACACTCTTTATCTTCCCTTAAACTAAGAGATTGAAATTGCTTCATATCTTGCTTTATACTAACTAATTCTTTCTTCCTGTACTATATCCTTACTGCAATCTTTCTTTTATATATTACCACCTCTGAATTAACTACTTTTATGAATCCAGTGTCCATCTTGTTGTGTTAATGAGGTATGGCAACTTGGACCGATGCGTATATGTGCCTGGTCCTACGTTGTAGCTGACCGACTCTGGATCCATGAGATTCTCATCCTATAAGTGTTTTCTGTGCTTCATTGGACAGCATCTAAGCAACTCCCTGAGTGTGTGGAGCGTTTTCTTCTTCATGATCAGAGTACAACAGCATCTCTCCCGAATCTAATCCTTCCTGTCGAGCTTCGATCGAATGGGTTCCACTGATTCCGAGCACCTCCAAGTGGTATCTCCTGATTTCAGTAGCTATTTGATTGATCTTATCGGTCTCCCATATTGTCCAGACATTTCATGTACCGATCTAAGCTGTTGCTCTGGTTGTTAGAAGAGACATCAGCCTTTGTGACTTTCGAAGCATCTCAGCTTTCACTATGAGGTGTTATAATTCTTCTGAATGATGATCCTTCAACTCGGAGGGCAGAGTTTAAGTAGTATAATTTATTATTTTTATTTCACTAACCAGCTATTCTGTAATAATAATTTGAAAGCGTGCTCGTTAAATTAATTTCATTGAAGCAACTTTAAAACGAAGTCTGAAGAATATTATATAAGTATCAAATACTTCTATCGTCTGGACGTTTTCGTCATGTAACGTCTTGTGTTATGTAGGCATCGTGAAACCGTTCTAGACGCCATAAATTTCATTGATAAAAATATGTAGTTATCTTGATGATATCAACCGTTTTATGTTTTATGAATAGGAGATTATTCCATACACTTTTGAAGTCACTTATCTTCCTTGATTATACTGTCTCTTTGACTATGGGACTTTGTTACATGATGAATTTTATTCTGGATGACCAATAGGGTTATATCGAAAAATATATCTAGTTCGATTTCAAAATTTCTGTCTGGAAAGTGCCAACTCCACATAAAATACTCTTGGATTGATGTGCACTTAACAAGATAAGAACGCTGATTTTATGTAATGTTAACAATCAGTGTTCGGGAATCGACTTAACCTATTGTAAATATTATTGAGTTAGTGTTAAATACTGGTTTTATTTGTTCACTGGTCTTGGTAACTGTAGATTGTACATCGGCATTTTTAACTGTTCCAGCAATTTAATTATTTTAAGAAATTCGTAGATAGGACTGAGTCATTTGTTGATATCCTACGGCGTACTTTTCAAATACTCCATAGATTTTTAATTGTTTTTAGGTGTTTATGTGTTAATCAACTGTTATCACGTTGTGACATGAAATAACTAATCATTACGTACAACTTACAAAAAATCGCCTAATAAGAAACTATGTTAACAGCGTTCGTTTCAGTACTTGTTGGATTGTAAATTTCTCTGCGAAGTTAAGTAGTTTTAAGTTGTCTATTATTAGTTCATCTAGTATACGTCAGTTGTATTCCTTATTGTAGTATCCTTTTAAATTCTTTATCACAATACACACAACACTTGAACAATCATTAGCAAAATGTTAATTTATTTTAAGAGCTTTTGATAAATAGTCAGCTTGACGTTAACTGGTATTCGTCAGGAATTTCAGCCTTATCGCAATTTAATTTAATGATTGATATATACTATAGAGGGAATATATACATCGTCTATCCTATTGTACTACGCTATCTGCCATAGTAGATTGGGGGAAACGTTAGTGGTGATTAGACTGATACTTAATGTTAGTCCGTTAGGCTATTGACTGCTAGTTTCAGCTGCCTGGAAATTTCTGTGCCTTTTATCATCCTGATTTCCTCTTCTATCTCATCAACGTGAAGTGTAACAACATAGATGCGTTAACATTCATGTCAGGTTTTATATTTATGACAAACTAACTGATAGACTATATAATATAAATGAAATGGTTTCCAGATATCCGGTGTATTTATTATGTCCTCTAATATCAGTCAAATTATATGCTTGTCACCAACTTTTATCAGTAAGATGTTCAATGTTTTAAAACTGAGAATGTATAACCATTAGCAATTTGTATACCTTAATATTAACTCTGTTAGGAAAAGACAAGTTGAATTAACCAATGTTTTTAAATTGATCCTGATTGATTTCACTTCGAATCCGGTAAATTATGACTTAGTGTTACATCATATCGACTTTCCTATTTAACGGAATCCAACCAGCACTAAGGCTATATTCATTATATTTCCTCAAACTTTACTCCATATAATTGGTTGTTTTATTATCTTTTTTTAATACTATAGTCTCATAATAAATTTGCATTCCAATCATCTTCTTGGGCTAAATGTCGTTTTCGAGTTATTGAACTTACTCACTCTTGGCGACAGTCCAATGATCCGAAGTTGGCGCATTTACTGTCAGTAATTCGTGAAGGTCAGTGTCCACAATGGGCTGTGGAAAGATTGCGATCTCGTTTGGTTTCTGAACTGGTTAACGATCAAAATAAACCCAAAATTATAGCAACACGTTTATGTACTCATCGCGCAGACGCTGATGCCTGGAATCAACGCAAGTTAAGTGAACTGCCAGGTCGGTTAAATAATGTTCATTGGATCGTATAATTTCAGAATTTTATATAGTTATTATTACTTTGTAGCTAGTACGCAAGCCAAAACGGATGCAACACAAAAGAATAATATCATTACTCTTTAGTGAACCCTGTTTTTTGATGGAATGTAGTGTAAATATTGTTATTGGACTACTCCCACTGACACTGGAATTTATCTTTTGGTTCAGTTTGTAGTAAGTAATCGTGCTCTTGACTTTGATAGTATGAAATGCAAGAAAAACGTTAGCAGATTTTCCGGCTTTGACATAAATTGTGTCTGTCTATCTTATTTATTAGTTATTTAAACAATATCTAAAGAAATTTAACTATTCATACATAGATTGGCTCCTTATTATTATTATTATTATTATTATTTGGACACATGAATATTGGTACAAGAGAGCGCCAATATATATGCGCCACACAAAACAATGAAAATACGAGAGGAATACAAAGAAAGAAAAAAAAACCTAAGGAGCGCAACAAAAAAAAGAGAGAACAATAACGAAGAGATTGGTGTAAGGTAATGTGCTAGTAATCAGGGAACGCAAAGGTACAATCAGAAGAAATCTTTCAGGTAAGGGAGACACAACCACTTTTTATGAAGAAAGTAAAAGAAGGTTACAGCAGGATCGCCACTGGCTTCTATTCTGAGCCATATCTGATAACGTCTCTAGCCACTGTGTAGCACCATCTCTCGGACCCCAACCAGGGAGTCGTGAAGGACCAACACAAGCCAGTCCTTTGCAGCTTTCTTTCATGCCACGACACCATGTCATGCACTGACCACCTCTCCGCTTCTTCCAACCAGTCCCAGAGTCGGCAAATAATGCACGACGTGGAATTCTCTGGGACGACATTCGGAGAACATGTCCAAGCCACCGAAGTCGGTGTTTCAAGATGGTGACACCAATTGAATTATCATCTCTGTGCCCGAACACACGATGCCGAACCTCTGCATTACTGACATGGTGTTGCCACTGAATGTCAGCAATCCTTCGGAGACAGCGATGATCGAACACAGAGAGTCGTCTAACGTCCTCAACTCGGAGAGGCCAGGTTTCACACCGACGCGTTGTAGATCCGACCTTTTACAGCCAGACTAACATCACGAAGGCGCCAAAGGTGGCCCAGATTGGCATAAGCCGCTCTGGCTTTCACTATACGTGCATTGATCTCATCACTCACACCCCCACCAGCACTTATGCAGCTACCCAGATACACGAACTTCTCGACTACGTCTATCTGCTCACCATCCAGGGTGAGTACAGGATTAGAATCCTGCCAGTCTTGTAGAAGTACTTTGCACTTCGAAGGTGCAAAGCACATACCATACCTACGGACACTGATTGCCAACTGATTAAGTGCGGATTGCATGCCTTGGGCATTATCGCACAGTAAGACAATATCGTCCGCATACTCAAGGTCGAGAAGTCTTTCTCCAGGCAACAGATCCACACCACCATTACTTACATTCATCAGAGCTGTTTCCAGAATGTCATCGATGGCAAAGTTGAAGAGGAATGGTGAGATTGGGCAACCCTGCCTAACCCCACTGCTCGAATGGAACAATGGAGAGAGGTGGTTGTATGCCCTCACTCTGCCTGAGGTGTTTTTATATAGGGCTTTTAGGATGTTAATAAACTTCTCAGGCACACCCTTCTTCAATAGACAATCCCAGAGAACAGTCCTGTCCAACGAATCGAAGGCAGCCCTGATGTCAAGAAACACTACGATTGTTGGCCTTTGATAAGTATGGCGGTGTTCTAACATTTGGCGGAGGGTGAAGATATGATCAATACATCCTCGACCAGAACGAAACCCAGCCTGCTCCTCGCGAGTCAATCTTTCTCGGGTTTTGAACAACCTACGAAGTATGACGGAAGCCAATAGCTTGGACGCAATCGGAAGTAGACTTATCCCCCGATAGTTGTTACAGGAACGACGTGAACCCTTTTTAAAGATAGGGACAACTATCGACTCATTCCATGACGTTGGTACACTCTCTAGTTCCCAAACCTTTGTAAACAACGTCGTCAATTCCTTAGTCAAAAAGTCACCACCATCTTTAAAAAGAGCCGGAGGTAAGTCATCTGGGCCAGGTGATTTGTAACGCTTCAAGAGTTGGAGTTCCTTGCGGACTTCCTCCTCATTTGGTGGATCAGTCGTCACCGGCCATGGAGGGCAGGACAGTCTGACCGATGTTGCCGGAGCAGCAGGCCAGTTGAACTGCCCTTCGAAAAATTCTGCCCATCGTCCAAGACGTCGATGGATGTTAGTGATTGGCATCCCATCATCCTCGCAGATTGTTTCACTCACACCAGACTTCTTGCTGCCAGTGGCTCGGATGAGCTGGAAGAGCTTCCGGTAGTTACCAGATGCAGCTGCTGCTTCCAGCTCATTAGCACGCTTCGACCACCAGGCTTCTCGGTCCTTACGCAAGCTTTGCCCAATTTCCTTACGTAACATCCTTCGTTTATGGTCAAACTCACGGTCACCCGGAGTAGACCGACGGGCTTCAATGAGTTGTAAGGAACCAGAAGAAACCCAGTGCTTAAAAGCGGGACGTTTCGCAAACCCACAACTGACTGTTCCCGCCATTTTCATGGCGTCATGCAATTGCAACCAATGCTCATCTATACTTTTCGGTGGAGTGGTAGCTAGCCTAGAGGCTAGCTCGGTTCGATACTTACTTGCAACAGAAGTTGCAACCAGCTTGCTAACATCAATCCGTTGATGGCGGTCACTTCGTTGTCCACTGAAAAGTAAGGCAAGATTGGCGCAGACCAAGGCATGGTCAGAGTCCAGATAGGTACTCCAAAAGGAGCGGCAGTCTTTACACAACCACGCCAGCGGTAGCTGATCGCGATGTGATCAATCTGAGTCCAGGCTTGAGATGCAGAGGGAGGACGCCAGGTGGCACATCGGCGATGACTGTGCCGAAAGTTAGTGCTAGCCAGAAACAGGTTGTGGTCTGTGCACAGTTGCAGTAGACGGTCCCCGTTATCTGACCTGCGACCAACGAGTCCCCATCGGCCACCTAAACGACTCTCTTCTGTGCCTAGACGCCCGACCTGAGCATTCAAGTCTCCGGCTAGTACTACAATATCTGTCGAACGCACTTTCTGGAGAAGAACAGATAACTGGTGGTAAAACTCATCCTTGATTGCATCCGGGCTGCAATCTGTCGGGGCATAGGCGGAGATGACGAAAAGACATCGTTTCTCACGCCGATTTCTTCTCACTTTGATGGAACTTTCTAATCTAACAGCACATAACCGACTGTTAATGGGGATCCAATCGACTAGTGCTGCCTCAGCTCTAGCGCTTAGTGCGACACCAACGCCAGCAAGACCAGACGAAGATGCCACAGGGTCCCCGGATAAGCGCACGTAAAACAAGCTTTTCGAAGCGACAGATGGAGATCGAATTTGTAGTACTTCGCCAGAGTCTTGAATACGGGTCTCGGATAGACAACACATCGATATTAAGACTTTCCAAAGACATAGCCAGCCCTATCTGTTGTCCGACCTGCATAAATGTGCGAACGTTGAAGGCAGCCAGTTTGAATGGTGCACGTGGTTTCAGAAAAACTGCTTCAGTACTCATATTCGGTGGTAACATACAATTTTCAACCGGACAGTGACTCGAGAACGTTTAGATACAGTCGAGTTTCCACCAAAGACGAGCCGCTGTATAAGTATAAAAGAGGGTGAATAATGTGGAAAATAATAATAATAATGACAATAATAGTAATAATAATAGTATTAATAATGACAATAATAGTAATGATAATTATTTGAATCGGTTGATTGTTTTTCGGAGCGAGAAAAGCAGTTGCCATAGACATAGAGTTCATCGTTTGTGTGTGGGCTGTGATACTGCCCGGGTGCCCAAACCGAAGCAGGTGGTTATCTTAGGGGGCCACTCCCGAGCCTTTGACCTAAAGGTCTAACCCACAAGGCAGTGGAGCATCGTAAGGAGATGCAATCCCATGGTAGCCGGTGACCAACGATTGGTTCATACGCCATTTTTCCCGCAGGATACTGGAGCCCATGTGCACCATTGGTTTGTGATCCGGTTAAAGCGCCGGACATTCGCTTTTCGTCCTCCCATTTTCGTAAACAACACCCCCGCCACGAGAAGGCAATGAGTAGGACTTCCCTGGCAGAGGCTGTATTCGCGCCGCCGTGTGAGAGTATTTCGAGAGGGAGAGCGGACTCACCCCACTCTCGACCGTACCAGGGCATTCGGGGGCTCCTAGGTCAATCTATAAACGCTATGCAAATTCAACCATTCACTCCTCCCTGCTCATAGTCTGGTCAGTTGACTAGTGTGTCTGAGATATAATATTCCCAACCACTACGTATTTCGGGTTTTTTGCTTCCATACTGTTAATAATTCTTGGTGGTGTTTTAATCATCGATTTATATGAAGTTACTCGAAATAAGTACACAACCTGCAACAAAATGAGGCTAATAAAAACGTATTTTTGCATCCACTACGAACACCCCTCTGCCCACTTTGTTTCAAGACTGACATTAAAACGAATGTGGTTTCTTTTTATCCGCAACTTTTAGTTTTTTCGGTATGACTAAACATTAAAAAAGTGATTGGTTGAAGTGTTATTAAATTATAAGCTCAATATGTCAGTGGTCGACTTCATGAGCCGATCTAAGCTAAACTACCAATGAAAACCTGGGAGCGCTGGACATCTGTTTCGTCCTAGTATAGGACTCAGGTGGAGACGGCTGTCCACTTCAGAAAATGGATGAGTAGTTGCCCATTTATTCATGGATCAATTGAAGTTAGACGTTAACACCGTTGGATGCCGGCTCAATGGTCTGGAAGTTAAGTGTTCGCACGCGAAACCGTAGGTCCTGGGCTGTAGTCTCACGTGCGGGACCGTGGATGCGCGCTGCTGAGGAGTTCCGTAATAGCACAAAACGGCTGTTCAGTGACTTTGGGTTTTCAGTGGTGGTCTAGCTTAGATCGACTAAACTATTAAAATTACTACAATCTCCACAAACCCCTATTCTGGTAATATGCTCAATATTTCAAGGTGCACACTTTTTTAGCCTAAGTATACAAAGATAGCATGTTGGGAAAAATATCTCTGGGCGCAATCACATTCGACCGTGAATCTAGACTATTGATACAGTGATTATTGTAATCACTGCACAAATTATTGACTTGTATATCTGTCTTAACCTAATAATGGATGATACTTTTTTGATTATTAATATTATTAAACGACAGGTTTGAGGATTGCAAAGGAGAAAGATGTGCAAAAATGTATATTAGTGGGGCTCGATGTGAATGATACGTTTAAACCGTAGTTGTTTTAATGTTATTCCTGTTTTGAACAGCTTGCTAGCATTAAATGCTCAAAGCCTAATCTACACTAACCTTTTATTAAGTTACAGCAGTTTGAACTAATTAGGGGTTTGAGACTCGTTTTCAGTTTTAATTTAAAACTTTGGAAAATATGTCGACTAAGTGTTTTTGCGTTGAGCGTAAAGTGTTATTGCTAACAAAACAAAATATATGGGAATAGGAATTAACATTAAATTCTATTCATCAGTTTTACGAATTAGTTAAATTTGAATAAATTGAACATAAAATATGTTAAATAGAAAAACACAACAAAAACAGACAGTTATTGGATAAACTCAGAAGTAGATCTTATTCGATAGAAAAACAATGTAGTAAAATTCAAGGAATTGTTAGAGAACGCCTTTTAATGTTGATATTATACATTTGAGAATTCGGACTCCAGAAATTCCAACATATGCACATTAAATGTATTCTGAACCAAAAGTACTTTCTAATACACTTCAGAGGTTTTACCTAGCTGATGTAAATGAATATATTTTTATATGTAACATCAAATCAGTTAGTGTTAGTATAACGTTAAACGTCACAGATTTCATGAAATCTATTTACGAATTTTCTTATTTCCTTGTTCACTCATTCAAATAGGTTCATTTAAAGTTTATCGATCTCAAGACAAGGGAGTTGGGAAAGGTATTTCAACCACAATAGATTCATCTTGCCCAGCTCCTTCTGTACTGAATTTAAAAGTTGGTGCTCAAGTAAGAACATGTTTATTTATCGCAGTTTATTTCATTCTGTATTATATTGTGCATACCATTTAAAAAGTTTTGAATCAGTGATATATGCGTACACATAAAAATATGTGTCAGGGTTGAATACAAATTTTCATTCTTATGAACATTATGTCGTTAAGTGAATTCTACAAACGCTCAAAGTTTGACACTTTTAAACTTGCTTTACATCCCTCACACTTTTAACAACCAAAAAGCAGTAAAAGTACAATTCAGAATTAGATCTAAATTTATACTTGGTATATTGTTCAAAATTGCATGAATCGGTTTATTCTTTTAACATCATGTTGTAAATATAAAACTTTAGGTAATGCTACTAAGAAACTTGGATACTAGCCGTGGACTTGTCAACGGAGCACGAGGCGTAATAGAGAAGATAAACAACGATAATGGTCTTCCTGAAGTTAGATTTTATTCTGCAAAAGCGAGTGGATCTACTGGCATCTTACATGTTGTACAAATGGAAAAGTGGACTATTCGTGGGGTTGATGCAGAAGAAATCGCGAGTCGACGTCAATTACCACTAACTCTGGCTTGGGCAATATCCATCCATAAAAGTCAGGGGATAACATTGGAATATGCGGAATTAGCTCTGTCAAAGGTTCGTATTTTGCAATAGTGTGACGGACTAAAAAGTTTTATTTTCATAATAAATAATTTAGTTCAAAGTATTTGGCCTCCATGTTTACAGAATACGTACGTTCTCAACCGGTTAAATCACAATCGTTTGTTTCCAGCAATGTCGTTACTCTAAAACTTTCAACAAAGTATCTTCTGTTACTAGTGATAATGAAATTAACACTTTGCAATTAAAAAGTTTTACTTACGCCTGTTACTCCTCGTGAAGGAGCATAGGCCACTCACCAGCATTCTCCATCCAACCCTGTCCTGGGCAATCCTTTCCAGCTCCGTCCAGTTGTAATTCATCCTTTTCATATCTGCTTCTATTATCCGACGCAATGTGTTCTTTGGCCTTCCTCTTTTTCGCTTCCCTTCAGGATTCCAAGTTAGGGCTTGCCTCGTGATGCAGTTTGACGATTTGCGTAATGTATGTCCTATCCATTTCCATCGTCTTTTCCTAATTTCTTCTTCAGCTGGAAGTTGGTTTGTTCTCTCCCACAGAAGGCTATTGCTGATGGTATCCGGCCAATGGATGTTGAGTATCTTGCGTAGACAGCTATTTATAAATACTTGTACTTTCTTGATTGTGGTTGTTGTAGTTCTCCAAGTTTCAGCTCCATACAGTAGAACTGCCTTGACGTTCGTATTGAAGATTCTCACTTTGATATTGGTTGAAAGTTGTTTTGAGTTCCATATGTTCTTCAATTGTAGGAATGCGACCCTTGCTTTGCCGATCCTCGCCTTTACGTCTGCATCTGAACCTCCTTGTTCATCGATGATGCTTCCCAGGTATGTGAAGGACTCTACATCTTCCAGAGTTTCGCCATCAAGAGTGATTGGATTGCTGTTCTCCGCTTGAATTTGAGGACCTTGGTTTTCCCTTTGTGTATGCTGAGGCCTACTGATGCAGAGACTGCTGCTACACTGGCTGTCTTCATCTGCATCTGTTCGTGTGTACGTGATAGGAGGGCTAGGTCGTCTGCGAAGTCCAAATCGTCTAATTGATTCTGAGCTGTCCATTGTATTCCGTGTTTTCCTTCAGATGTTGAGGTCTTCATAATCCAGTCGACCACCAGAAGAAAGAGGAAGGGAGAGAGTAAACAGCCTTGTCTGACTCCAGTCCTTACTTGGAATGCATCTGTCAGCTGTCCTCCATGCACTACTTTGCACTGTAGTCCGTCGTATGAGTTCCGGATAATGTTGACAATCTTCTCAGGAACTCCGTAGTGTCGAAGAAGTTTCCATAATGTCCTCCTATCTACACTGTCGAATGCCTTTTCATAATCAATGAAGTTGATGTATAGTGATGAGTTCCACTCAACTGATTGTTCGACGATGATCCGTAGTGTTGCAATTTGGTCTGTGCACGACCGATCCTTACGGAATCCAGCTTGTTGATCTCGAAGTTGGGCGTCTACTGCATCCTTCATCCGGTTCAGCAACACTCTGTTGAAGACTTTCCCTGGTATTGACAGTAGTGTAATGCCTCTGTAGTTTTCACATTTGCTCAGATCTCCTTTCTTTGGAATCTTGACGAGGTGTCCTTCTTTCCAGTCCATTGGCACTTGTTCCTCCTCCCAAATCTTTTTGAATAGAAGGTATAGCATGCTTGTGGTTGCTTCGATGTCTGATTTCAGTGCTTCAGCTGGTATGTTGTCGGGTCCTGCTGCTTTCCCGTTCTTGATTTGTCTGACGGCCATTCTAATTTCTTCCGTCGTTGGTGGGTTGACATCTATAGGAAGATCTATGTGTGCTGCTTCGATGTCCGGTGGATTCATTGGAGCCGGCCTATTCAGGAGTTCCTCGAAGTATTCTACCCATCTGTTACGCTGTTGTTGAATTTCGGTGATTGGCTTGCCTTCTTTGTCTTTGACCGGCCTCTCTGGTTTACTGTATTTCCCTGCTAGTTTCTTCGTTGTATCGTGAAGCTGTTTCATATTTCCTTCTCTAGCAGCTTTTTCTGCCGTCGTTGCTAGTTCTTCCACGTATTTCTTCTTGTCGGCTCTAATGCTCCTCTTCACTTGTTTGTTTGCTTCTATGTATTCAGCTTGTGCTTGGACTTTCTCTGCTCGTGTTCGGCTGTTGTTAATTGCTGCCTTCTTGTTCTTCCTTTCTTTGATCTTGTCCAGTGTTTCTATAGAGATCCATTCCTTATGATGGTGTTTCTTTAGGCCCAGAACCTCTTGACACGTTGAAGTTAATGCTTCCTTGATGCCTTTCCAGTTGTCCTCCATACTAGTTTCTTCTTCTTTCAGTAGATCTTGTAAGGCTTGGAACCTGTTGTTGAGAGCTATCTTGAATTCATTGAGTTTGTCAGTATCTCGAAGGAAGGCTGTATTGAACCTTTGTAGTGCTGTTTGTCCACTTGTCCAGTTCTTTTTTAGCTTCAGTTTTAAATTGGCTACAACTAGGTGGTGATCTGAAGCTACGTCAGCACCTCTCCTGGTTCTCACATCTTCCATTGTCCTTCGGAATTTTTTGTTGATGCAAATATGATCGATTTGGTTCTCTGTAGTGTGGTCCGGTGAGATCCATGTAGCCTTGTGTATACGCTTGTGTGGAAATATTGTGCCTCCTATGACCAATTTGTTGAATGCACACAAATTTGCAAATCTTTCTCCATTTTCGTTTCTTTCTCCCAGTCCATGTCGTCCCATAATATCTTCATATCCAGTGTTGTCTATTCCGACTTTGGCATTTAGATCTCCCATCAGAATAGTTAGGTCCTTTCTTCGGCATTTCTCAATGATTGACTGCAGCCGCTCGTAGAACTGATCTTTAATGTCGTCGTTGCTATCATTGGTGGGTGCATAACATTGGATAATATTCATTAAGATCCCCTCCTTCTTTGTTTTGAATGATGCTTTGATGATTCTGGATCCGTGAGACTCCCATCCTACAAGTGCATTTCGTGCTACTTTGGACAGCATAAGAGCGACTCCCTGAGTGTGTGGAGCATTTTCCTCTTCGTGACCGGAGTATAGCAGCATCTCTCCCGTAGCTAGCCTTTTCTGTCCAGCTTGGGTCCAGTGGGTTTCGCTGATTCCCAGTACTGCTAAGTTGTATCTCCTCATTTCCATTGCTATTTGACTGGTCTTCCCGGTTTCCCACATTGTTCGAACGTTCCATGTACCTATAAAAATTTTTGCTCTAGTTGTTAGATTAAAAAGTAATTAACAAAAAACAAATAATTTGATAAATCATAGTAGTTATACCGGGATAGCGAATAAAAAATCATTATTCACTGATCAATTTCATACACAAGGTAGCTCAAACCAATATTAACCTTTAACGCGAGCAACGTTCAATTCCTAAACAATTTTGTTAACGGTTCAATGTTCTGATTCAATAAATAATAAAAAAAAGTGATGCTGAACCAATAATTAAAAATAATAGTAAGAATAATGCGAAGGTTTGTAAAATGAAATAACAAAGACAATAATATTTCGTTAAGTTATTGTTATAACTCTTTTCTTCTTACGGTTGTGACCCAGCTATTCCTATTGCTTAGTATTCTCGGACACCGATTCACTCGACAAGTCCCCAAATCAGAACACGGTTGAACAGGAAAGAGATTATATTCCAAATAGCAAGTCAGAAGCATAATAGGGAAAAACGTCAGTATATTTATAGTTTTTTACATAAGAAGATTCCAGAATATTCTCCGACTATCGACTGTTGCTGATTGGATAAGAATCAGCCAATCAGCGTGCAGCAAAGCAATCATGCATTGAGCATGCTTTAATCTAGTCTATGTCCCGCTAACACCTCCCCTCTGAGCAGATTCGTAGGATCTGGTGCTAGGGTCCAACTGCAACCGAGTGACTGGCCTGTGCTTTCGATTAGTCCATCGTCTAGGCAATAAAGAAGTATCACTCTTTTCTTGCACAGAAACTGATGTGTCTATTCCCGGCGTTTTGATTTCAAAGGTGTCTAGCAGAACATCAAGAGGTAATCGATATTGAATCTTGTTGCTGGCTATCGAAGTTGCTTTCAATTGGTTAGCATGACGTACCCAAACTTCCGAGCCAACTGACACCTCGTAAACCACACTCCCCTTCTTTTTCAAGATCCGACCAGCTGTCCATGTAGGATGTTTCCCACGATAGTCCATAGCAAGCACTTTTTGTCCCACCGTGAACAATCGTCTTTGTGCCCCATGATGTCGGTTAAACTGATTCTCCATCGATAGGTTTCGTTGGGGTTCAATAGCTGGCGTAGGACGGATGACATCGAAATGTGTTCGTATCTTTCTGCCAAGTAGAGCTTCTGCTGGAGAGACCCCGTTAATTGTCTGAGGGTTCGGTGTAGAGCGATAAATAAACAGGAACCTCTCTAAGATATCTTCAGTGGTCCCTTCCCCTTTGGATTTTTTTAGAGCATTTTTAAATGTACTCACAAAGCGTTCCACTTGGCCATTTGATTGGGGATGGAATGGAGGTGTTCGGAGGTGCTGGATTCCGTTCTGCCGACAAAATTGTGAGAAGATTCGGACGTAAACTGTGTTCCGTTGTCACTAACTATCAATTCCGGGATTCCAAAACGACTGAATAGTTGACGTAGTTTACTGACTGTGCAGCTTGCAGTCGGGTGTTCCATGAGAAAAATTTCTGGCCACTTGCTATATGCATCAACCACCAAAAGGTAAGTTTGTCCATGAAGTGGACCAGCAAAGTCCAAATGTATACGCTGCCACGGTAACTGTGGTATTGGCCATGATTGCAGCTCTGCTTTTCGCGGTGCTTTTGTTGCTAATGCACATTTGGTACACGAACGGGATAGCTGCTCCAGTTGGGTGTCTAAATGCGGCCAGTATACATAACTTCGTGCTAGTGCTTTCATGCGATTTATTCCAGGATGTCCTGCATGCAACTGTTCAAGCACTGCTGGTTGTAGCTTCTTGGGAATTATGACACGTTCGGCAAACAGCAGACAGTCATCGATGATTGAAAGAGAGAGTCTTCGCTGGTAAAACTGTTGAAGCTCTGTGGAACTGATTTTCGAGGGCCACCCTTCTAGGTGGAACTTTCTAACTTCTTGTAGTGTTGGGTCTCGAAGCGTTTCTTCCCTGACTTCATCTGACGACACTGGAGTGTTTCGAATGGCATCTGCCATTATACTTCGTATTTCTGGGTCTACTGCTGTGGAGGCAATGATTATATCCTCTGGTCCAGGATGTTGAACTCCAATTAATCGGGAGAGAGCGTCAGCTTGACCGATAGTATTTGTCGACTGATACTTGATATTAAAATCATAACTCAGGAGCATTGTTGCCCAGCGCTGTAGTCTATTAGCCGTATAGACAGGGATTCCTTTCTTAGAACCAAAGATTGCAATCAAAGGTTTGTGATCTGTCAGTAGAGTAAATGTACGACCATAGAGCATTTTATGAAATCTTTTGACTGCGAAAATGATTGCAAGAGCTTCCTTTTCAATTTGGCTGTAGTTTCGCTCGGCTGGAGTAAGTGATCTAGCAGCATGGGCAATTGTCTTTTCTGATTTATCCGGAAACACGTGAGATATCACTGCTCCAACTCCATGACTAGAGGCATCAGATGCAACAACAATTTCCAAGCTGGGATCGAAGTGCGTCAAAAGAATCTTTGAGCTGAGCATTGATTTGACTCTGTCAAAAGATGCTTGACATTCTGCTGACCACTGCCAAGGTTTATCTTTCGATAGTAATTCATTTAGGGGACCTCTCACTCGATGCATTTCAGGCAAGAATGTGCTGTAATGACTGATTAACCCCAAGAAGGATCTTAATGAAGAAACATCAGTTGGTGCAGGCATCTTCTGAATGGCTTCGATGTTGGCAGGGTCTGGTCGGCGACCGTTCTTATCTAAGATAAAACCAAGGTATTTGATCGAATGCATGAAGAAGATACATTTTTCCTCACGTAGTTGGAAACCATACTCCAACACTCGGTTAAGGACTTGGTGTAGTCGATCAGAAAGTTCACTGTCAGTTGAACCCATAACTATGATATCATCTAGATAAGCTGCTGTACCAGGTATACCTGTTAGCATCGTATCCATTATTTGCTGAAAGATGGCGGGTGCGGTCTTGATGCCAAATGGTAGACCGGTGTATTGAAATAACCCTCGATGAGTGTTAATGGTCAGAAGCTCTCTACTATCTTCATCTACTTCCACTTGGAGATAAGCATCAGAGAAGTCTATTTTCGCGAAACATGTCCCACCATTAAGCTTGGCAAACAGGTCTTCAGGAACTGGTAAGGGATATTGATATACATCTAATGCAGCATTTAAACCGGTCGAGAAATCGGCACATATGCGTATAGTCCCATTGGCCTTCTTAATCACTACGATCGGTGCGGCCCATGCAGAGTAGTTAACTGGTCGGATTACACCAGCCTGTTGCAAGCGATTAAGTTCCTGGTCGACTAGCTCAAGAGCAGCATATGGTACAGGACGTCTCGGGCGAAAAATAGGTATGGCATCTGGTTTCACTGGTAAGTGCGCTTTCATCTTGGTACAGTGGCCAAGGCTATTCTGAAAAACAGAGGCAAACTTTCTTTTCAGTTTTTCTAGTAACCTTTCACCTGTCTTCTTTGGAAGTAATGGGGTGTCCAATGATGAACACGATACGTTACAGACACTGTTAATTGGTATATCCATTATTCCAAGTTTGTCTAGCATATCTAGACCAAGAAGATCAAGGTTCGGCCGTTCTGTTAGGTAACATATTCCTGTACAGTTAGTTCCATTGAAGGAAAATTCACACTGTAATTCACCAACCAGTTTTAGCACACCACCTGATGCGTTTTTAGCCGTTTTCTTAGATGGCTTCATTGGCGGTTTACCCAGCAAGTTATACGTTTCTCTAGACACTAACGTGATATCTGATGCCGTGTCAATTTGAAGACGAGCTGATATGCCGTTTATCTGGATGGTAACATACTTTCTCCGAATGTCATAGTTTGTTTGAAAAGCAGCTACCAGAGAAAGAGATTTCGACTCGGCTGATTTCACATGTCGAGGACGTTTATGCTTCTTCTTAGGCTGAGACGTACGCTTCGGTGGACAATGACCTTCTTTATGTCCACGTTTGTTGCACGCCTGACATTTATGCTTCTTGAACGGACAGAATCGTGCATAATGCCAATCACCGCATAACCAGCATGCAGTCCTTGGTTTGTTACGAGTTGTTACCGGCTTCTGAACTTTTAACCTAGTAATAGTATTTACACTACCGCAGGTTAAATTAGGATTTACCTGTTCAATCAACTCGTTGTCGTGTCTGATGCTTTGTAGACGCTTACACTCATCTGTCAATGTTCTGAGTGTGACGTTTGGGTCTTGATCCAGTCGAGCCAAAAGTCTAGTCCTGATTTCAGCATCTTGTGGTGACTGAAGAGCTTTGATGAATATTAAGCATTTAAATTGGTCATCAGTCAACGAGCGTAACTTGAAACGTTCACATTCTCTGTTGACAATGTCTGCTAGAACACCATATTCATCAGCTTCGCGTTTCACCAAATTTAGACACCGATATCGAATACTAAACAACGAGGATGACTCGCCGAATATCTCTGACAACTGAAATACCGTCTCCTCGAAACTGAGCTCTCGAGGTAACTTTGGCAATATATGGTCAGCAAAACGTGCATGTTCGTTGCTTCCCAACTTACGTACCAACAATCGGGTCTTCCACGCATCGTCTTGATTACAGAATTCTGTTCTAAATGTATCTTCCCAACGTCTGAACCACGTGAGAAAAGTATTTCCATTTTCGGGATCATAGATGAATTCTGGGATGCTGCTAGCAACTGCATCACAAGACGTACTTGAAATAGCATGTGAACTCGAGCTGTGGATGTTGAGCTGTTGAGTCAGGGTCTCCAACAACCGCATTTGTGCATCAAGTTGTGCTTGCTGTTGTTGTAGTATTCGGTTAAGCTGGTCATCTGATATAGGCATCTTGAATTTGTTTTCCTTTTTCCCCGTCGCCACTGTTATAACTCTTTTTCTTCTTACGGTTATGACCCAGCTATTCCTATTGCTTAGTATTCTCGGACACCGATTCACTCGACAAGTCCCCAAATCAGAACACGGTTGAACAGGAAAGAGATTATATTCCAAATAGCAAGTCAGAAGCATAATAGGGAAAAACGTCAGTATATTTATAGTTTTTTACATAAGAAGATTCCAGAATATTCTCCGACTATCGACTGTTGCTGATTGGATAAGAATCAGCCAATCAGCGTGCAGCAAAGCAATCATGCATTGAGCATGCTTTAATCTAGTCTATGTCCCGCTAACAGTTATATGTAAATTAATCAAATCAGGTTATTCTAAAAATTGAGATAACTATTGATTTATTAACCTTGAAGTTGGCTGAGGCAAAAGGAGTTGAACATATTTCTTTTGCACACATAGTTCTTTTTTTGTCGGTAAGAATACTTTTGTAATTAAAATTGTTGTTCTTATGCTAATAATTGCTAATGTGGCTATGCAACTGTAGAACCTAAAGAGAATTTATTAAGAATATTCTTTGTTTAATATATCAGCGTTTCCTTTAATCAAATAATTTCACATTTAAATATTTTTTGGTTGAATGGTAGTAGAATACTCATGACCATAACTTAATGAAGTATAATTAGGTACATGGGTCTCATCGGATCACATTAGAGAAAACCAGATCGATCATTTCTGTATCACTAGAAAATTCAGAAACTCAATGAAGGATGTGAGGACCAAGAGAGGAGCTGACATAGCAACTTCAGATCACGACCTGGTGTTTGTCAAGATGAAACTGAAGCTAGACAAGCACTAGACCGCTGGAGAAACTGTATTACAAAGGTCCAACAAAGCCTTCCTTCGAGATAGCGACAAACTAAACGAATTCAATATAGCTCTCAACGACAGGCTCCAAGCCTTACAAGATCTGGATGAAGAAGAAACTGCTATGGAGGACAAGTGAAAGAGGATCAGAGAAGTACTAACTTCAACGTGTCAGTAGTGCTGGGCCGCAAGTAGCACCACCATAAGGAAGTTTAGAGGGGCGCTGAAAACGCTGGTAAACATTTCATCCAATCAGCGTTAAAAAGAAGCTTTTCAGAAACATTTGAAAAGTGCGGGGTCACGTGTCACACTCTTAATTGATTAATTACCAATGATGCTAATATATTTGCTATAGTTTCGAGAACTTCTAGAACCCCTTGGTTTTTTGTACATAAACCAACTTTTGAGTAAAACGCTCTCTTCACACTTCGAGCTTTTTTCTCTTGTGTTCAAGTTACCATGTAAATTTAGCCTAAGATAATTAGAAGCGTCAAGGAAACGGATACAAGCATCCAGTTAGAAAGATTATCTTATTCGTTATGTTATTGTCAATTATGAACAATCAGTTGTGGTATGTCGGCTTATTTCACCGTTGTAGTTATTGATTTTGTTGTTGTTGTTATTATTCTGTCTGTAAAAATTTCAACTATCATTTCCGCTCCAAATATGTTAGTATGTTGAATACCTTCTTATGTTTGAATTCTATGGATTCTTATGTCGATTTGTTTATTCCAGGTATTTGAATGTGGACAAGCCTATGTAGCTCTTAGTCGGTGTCGTAATTTAAATGGCCTATACTTACTCGATTGGCGCCCTGAAGTGATTCGTGCAGATCCTAATGTGATAAAATTTTATGCGAAAATTAGAGAGACCAATAATGAGATTAAAAACAAGATTATATGATAATATTTTTACAATTTTCTTTATACATTTTTTCAAAAAGAAACTATCCTCCTAAATCGACGCATTTTAATTATTTTTATGTGAATGAAATGAATATTTACAAATGAATAAATTTTAGGTAAAGTTATTCGAATCTTATATAATTTCGATAACTTAACTGATTACAGTATATAGTAATGAACGTCGATTTATTCATCACTGGACAAAAAAAATGTTTACTGAATGATGATGACTCTTGAATGATCTGAGAATCACTACTTTAAGATCAATTGATCGATATTTCTTAACTTTCATCAGTAAACGAGCGGTTTCTCTTTCAAATATTTTACTAATTATGTTTTTACTTACGCCTGTTACATAGAGAAGCCTAGGTTACCGACTACCTTTCTCTATCCAACTCTATCTTGGGCAGTCCATTCCAGTTGCTATTGATCTTTTCACGTTTGCGTCCAGTTATCGACGCAGTGTGTTCTTTGGTTCGTAGTGTCGCGATTTGTTCTGTGAACGACCGATCCTTACGGAATCCGGCTCGTTGATCTCGAAGCTCGATATCTACTGAATTTTTCATCCGGTTCAACAACACTTTGTTGAAAACCTTTCTTGGTACCGATAGTAGTGTGACGCCTCTGTAGCTATCACACTTGCTCAAATATCCTTTATTTGGTATCTTGATAAGATGCCCCTAAATGCCCTGGTATGGTCGAGAGTGGGGTGTGCCCCTACCTCCCTCTAGAAATGCTCTCACACGGCCACACGTATACAGCCTCTGCCAGAGAAGTCCTCACTGCCTTCTCGCACTACAGGTGTTGTTTACGAAAACGAGAGGACGAAAAGCGAATGTCCGGCGCTCTAACCGGATCCCAAACTGATGGTGCACATGGGTTCCAGTATCCTGAGGGAACAAATGGCGTATGAACCATTTGTTGGTCACCTGCCACCATGAGACTGCGTCTTCTTACGATGCTCCACTGCCTTGTGGATCAGACCTTCAGGTCGAAGGCTCCGGGTGTGGTCCCTAAGAAAACCGCCTGCTTCGGTTCGGGCACCCGGGCAGTCTCACAGCCCACACACAAATATGATGAAATATCGATATTTATGGAAAATACTTGTCTTGCTTCGACTAACAATCAAGCGATTCACTATTATTATTATTTACGTCACTTATCCACTCTTTTTAATCCCCACTCTGTGTATACTTATTTTTCGACTTATACAGCAGCTCGCCTATGGTGGAAACTCGGTTCTATCTAAACGTTCTCGAGTCACTGTCCGGTTGAAAATTGTATGTTACCATCGAATATGAGTACTGAAGCAGTTTTTCTGAAACCACGTGCACCATTCAAACTGGCTGCCTTCAACGTTCGCACACTTATGCAGGTCGGACAACAGATAGGGCTGGCTATGTCTTTGGAAAGTCTTAATATCGATGTGTTGTCTATCCGAGACCCGTATTCAAGACTCTGGCGAAGTACTACAAATTCGATCTCCATCTGTCGCTTCGAAAAGCTTGTTTTACGTGCGCTTATCCGGGGACCCTGTGGCATCTTCGTCTGGTCTTGCTGGCGTTGGTGTCGCACTAAGCGCTAGAGCTGAGGCAGCACTAGTCGATTGGATCCCCATTAACAGTCGGTTATGTGCTGTTAGATTAGAAAGTTCCATCAAAGTGAGAAGAAATCGGCGTGAGAAACGATGTCTTTTCGTCATCTCCGCCTATGCCCCGACAGATTGCAGCCCGGATGCAATCAAGGATGAGTTTTACCACCAGTTATCTGTTCTTCTCCAGAAAGTGCGTTCGACAGATATTGTAGTACTAGCCGGAGACTTGAATGCTCAGGTCGGGCGTCTAGGCACAGAAGAGAGTCGTTTAGGTGGCCGATGGGGACTCGTTGGTCGCAGGTCAGATAACGGGGACCGTCTACTGCAACTTTGCACAGACCACAACCTGTTTCTGGCTAGCACTAACTTTCGGCACAGTCATCGCCGATGTGCCACCTGGCGTCCTCCCTCTGCATCTCAAGCCTGGACTCAGATTGATCACATCGCGATCAGCTACCGCTGGCGTGGTTGTGTAAAAGACTGCCGCTCCTTTTGGAGTACCTATCTGGACTCTGACCATGCCTTGGTCTGCGCCAATCTTGCCTTACTTTTCAGTGGACAACGAAGTGACCGCCATCAACGGATTGATGTTAGCAAGCTGGTTGCAACTTCTGTTGCAAGTAAGTATCGAACCGAGCTAGCCTCTAGGCTAGCTACCACTCCACCGAAAAGTATAGATGAGCATTGGTTGCAATTGCATGACGCCATGAAAATGGCGGGAACAGTCAGTTGTGGGTTTGCGAAACGTCCCGCTTTTAAGCACTGGGTTTCTTCTGGTTCCTTACAACTCATTGAAGCCCGTCGGTCTACTCCGGGTGACCGTGAGTTTGACCATAAACGAAGGATGTTACGTAAGGAAATTGGGCAAAGCTTGCGTAAGGACCGAGAAGCCTGGTGGTCGAAGCGTGCTAATGAGCTGGAAGCAGCAGCTGCATCTGGTAACTACCGGAAGCTCTTCCAACTCATCCGAGCCACTGGCAGCAAGAAGTCTGGTGTGAGTGAAACAATCTGCGAGGATGATGGGATGCCAATCACTAACATCCATCGACGTCTTGGACGATGGGCAGAATTTTTCGAAGGGCAGTTCAACTGGCCTGCTGCTCCGGCAACATCGGTCAGACTGTCCTGCCCTCCATGGCCGGTGACGACTGATCCACCAAATGAGGAGGAAGTCCGCAAGGAACTCCAACTCTTGAAGCGTTACAAATCACCTGGCCCAGATGACTTACCTCCGGCTCTTTTTAAAGATGGTGGTGACTTTTTGACTAAGGAATTGACGACGTTGTTTACAAAGGTTTGGGAACTAGAGAGTGTACCAACGTCATGGAATGAGTCGATAGTTGTCCCTATCTTTAAAAAGGGTTCACGTCGTTCCTGTAACAACTATCGGGGGATAAGTCTACTTCCGATTGCGTCCAAGCTATTGGCTTCCGTCATACTTCGTAGGTTGTTCAAAACCCGAGAAAGATTGACTCGCGAGGAGCAGGCTGGGTTTCGTTCTGGTCGAGGATGTATTGATCATATCTTCACCCTCCGCCAAATGTTAGAACACCGCCATACTTATCAAAGGCCAACAATCGTAGTGTTTCTTGACATCAGGGCTGCCTTCGATTCGTTGGACAGGACTGTTCTCTGGGATTGTCTATTGAAGAAGGGTGTGCCTGAGAAGTTTATTAACATCCTAAAAGCCCTATATAAAAACACCTCAGGCAGAGTGAGGGCATACAACCACCTCTCTCCATTGTTCCATTCGAGCAGTGGGGTTAGGCAGGGTTGCCCAATCTCACCATTCCTCTTCAACTTTGCCATCGATGACATTCTGGAAACAGCTCTGATGAATGTAAGTAATGGTGGTGTGGATCTGTTCCCTGTAGAACGTTGACTTCGAAGGATTGCTGACATTCAGTGGCAAAATCATGTTAGTAATGCAGAGGTTTGGCATTATGTGTTCGGGCGCAGAGACGATAATTCAATTGGTGTCACCATCTTGAAACATCTACTTCGGTGGCTTGGACATGTTCTACGAATGTCGTTCCAGAGAATTCCACGTCGTTCATTATTTGCCGACTCTGGGACTGGTTGGAAGAAGCGGAGAGGTGGTCAGTGCATGACATGGTGTCGTGGTATGAAAGAAAGCTTCAAAGGACTGGCTTGTGTTGGTCCTTCACGACTCCCTGGTTGGGGTCCGAGAGATGGTGCTACACAGTGGCTAGAGACGTTATCAGATATGGCTCAGAATAGAAGCCAGTGGCGATCCTGCTGTAACCTTCTTCTACTTTCTTCATAAAAAGTGGTTGTCTCCCTTACCTGAAAGATTTCTTCTGATTGTGCCTTTCCGTTTCCCCCATTATTACTTTTATTACTATTACACTACCTTATACTGATCTGTCCGTTATTGTTCTTTTTCTCTTCGAATTCTCATTATTTTGTTTGGCGCATAGATATCTGGTGCCCTCTTGTACCAATATTTATGTGTTATAATAAATAAACTTGGTGAGATATATTTGTTTTCAGTCTGTCTGTGACACTTGTTCTTTCTCCCAAATCTTCCTGAATAGAACGTGGAGCATGTTTGCTGTTTGTTCTTTGTGTGACTTTAGTGCTTCGGCTGGTATATTGTCAGGTCCTACTGCTTTCCAACTCTTGATTTATTTGATGGCCATGCTGATTTCTTCGATTGTTGGTGGAGTGACATCTATAGGAATGTCTAAGTGTCTTGCTTTGATGTCCGGGCGGCTCTTTTCAAAAGTTAAAATTATGTGTTGGACCTTTGTAATACAGTTTCTCCAGCTGTCTAGTGATGATCTGAAATCGCTATATCAGCTCCTCTCTTGGTCGTCACATCCTCCATTGAGTTCCTGAATTTTTAGTGATACAGATATTACCGATCTAGTTTTCTGTCATGTGGTCCGATGAGACCTATGTAACCTTGTGTATATGTTTGTGGGTAGAGGAATATAGTGCCATAACATTGCGTAGGATTCATTGTGATCTCCTTCTTTGTTTTGAAGATTCGGGATCTATGATATTTTCATCCTATTAGTGCTTTCCGCGCTTCATTGGACAGCATCTGAGCAATTCCATGAGTGTGTGGAGCGTTTTCTTCATGACCAGAGTACAACAGCATCCCTTCCGAATCTAAGCTTTTTATCCAGTTTGGATCAAATGTGTTTCACTGATTCCGAGCACCACCAAGGCCTGCAGTAGCCCTCGAAGTGGTGTAGGCGAAGTTTTACTAATTATGTTCATGGAAATTTATCACAATTTGGTTGATTAAGACCAATTCAATATTACAATTTTGGTTGTGAGATGTTATCTGAGTTTTCAATTAGCTATAAGTTTATTTATGTAAATTTAAGTACATAAACGAAGTTAGTCAATCAGTTGTAATTGACCTTACTGTTCACCGAAAAATACCATTCAATTCGTTGATTTCATTCTGAGAACACTAGAACGAATATTTCACGCATTATTTCTTTCCTATAGTAACAAGTATAACATTTTGCGGTCGCTCCCATCAATAATTGTATATGTCAGGATTTAATGAATATAATTATTTCTACCATTATTTTAAGTTGTTAAAATGTTGGTGCTTTCTACAAAATCATATAACGAGGTCTAAGAGACTCGGGAATTAAACTCCAATTTAATTCATCCTTTGAATTGAAACAACAGTAAGATTGATTAAATCGAGTGTCCACTGAAAACATTGCATGATTTTAACAAGTGAAATTTCTAAAATCTCCACAAAACCCCCTCTGAAAATAACTTCAAATAATCCTATGCAAACCAGAGGACGAAATGACAAAAGAAAAATTGAACATCATCCATAAAATAAATTGTTCCAACTGCGAAAAACACTACATAGAACCAAGTGGACGTCCCCTTTACCTTCATCTGCAAGAACAACGATTAGTAGTCAAACGCCATGACTCATATGAGCAAGTGTGGACACATTCGACTGAAAAAAATGTTGAGATCTTGGATAAAGGCAATCCTAAAAACAACGGAATTTTGAAACTTAGGTCAATCAGCAGTCCATAAACACAGTGAAATCGACCCAATTCACCAACCAATCAGAAAAATCATGGACAAATGTAGGACTAAGAATCAAATCAACTGGAGATACAATCAAAATAAGGAAGTAAACGATGACAGGGTCAAGGTCAACAACAGCCAATCAAGGTTGAGATCTACACATGACAAGCTGTGAGCCATGTGTGGAGAACTTCAAACATTTCTTTTCTACCTGAATTTTGCTGATGTCGTTCAGAACTACGATGAAAGCGCCACGACTAAACCATCCATTTCAGACAACAAATCACCAAAAAGTAGTTATTAAGTATCAATGAACTAGTTCAAACATAATTATTGGAAGGTGCAATTGATGATAATCACAGTTCCTTATCTACGGTTAAACTACAAAATACATTATGGTTAGAACTTCATAAATGGATAATAAGGTCGAAACATGTGATGTTGCTTGCTGTTCATTCTGTAAGAATGAACGTTTGTTCGATGCATATATGGCATTTATCAAACTCTTTTTACATTACTGTTGATCATTGCAAAGGTATCTCATGAGTCCTTCCTGACCTCAAACATGTTTTGGCAGAAAATTGTCTTGCCAGTTTGGTTGGATCAAGTCAATAATTAAAATGACTCAGGAAAGTATTATATTCATCTAATAATCCAGAACCTTAGCGAGTGAAATGTCATGAGCAACTCGACGAGTAATCATACATGGTGATTGCCTTGAAACACATCATAACACGATTGATGTAATTCCACAAACGGAACAGACTAAATCTATCTAGACGAGCATACTTTGGACTGTCAAACGATAAGAATGGGTTAGAAGAGCAGAGATATTTGAATAATCAATACTATCCGACTCTACATACATAAGAAATCAGTAATAGACACCAAATCGTTATTATTTCCAGACTAAACAAGACAGTGTTTGACATAGTACGACATGTATACTATACACAATAAGGCAAAATGTTATATAGAAGAGGTGAAATGTCGCCTACAAATTTGATTAGAAAAAAAACACTGAATTAAACTAACAATGAAAACAGATTATCTCAATTACTGTATAATCATAGAAGTCAACTGACAAAAATAATAAAGACAGTTTATCAGTGTGTCGTAGTATATTCACTAGTGGAAGTTTTAATATTGGATAAAATGAAATTCCTTATATCATCTAAAATAATTTCGAATGAAAAAAGTAGGTAGTTCAATGGAAAACTATCAATTAAATGTTTGTCTTATGTGTTTGTGTGTGTATGTGATACAGCTTGCAAGTGTAAATGGTATATAAGAAATCTGCTAAGAGAGAAACCTAATTTACTGCATAAATAGTGTGGAAAAAACCCATAAGGATAAGGAAATGATAATGATTTCTCTCGAAAAATTAAAGCATCAGTGTATAATATAACAAAAAGTGATTGTATATATCCATATGTACAAATAGGGAGACTGGAGGATGGTATAATACTGCCGACCATCGTATTTTAAAGATACAGATAAGAAACAAAATAATACTAATTGGAAATTGTTTATAGAAGTGAATAGTCAAAATGATATGGTTCATTGTTTAAAAAAAAGTATACCCATGAGCATACGTTCGCTATGTATAAAAAAATTACCATGGTAATAATAATAAGGCATAAAAAGGGGAAAAACGAATTCATTAAGTTTATTTATTTCATCATAAGTCAGTATCTCGTGAAACTCCACTTAAACGAACGTAAGGAGAAGTACCTCTGAAATTTCTGTTCATCATCAACATACCCGAATAATTACTTTTATTACTATGGACACTATTCACTGGACTTCTCGCAGATGTTTGTGTTGTATTCACAGATTTTTTCAACGTCGGTGTAGTAGAAGTAGCTGTTCTAGTGGTAGTCGATGATGAATCCGAATCTTGCAGTTGTACACATTCTGATTTAGGCAATAAAACTGGTTGAAAATAAAGATTTTTTTGAACATATGCTGTAGGAACATAACCAATTTCTTGTATCCGCTGTTTACGACATACATGAAGCCAATCAGTAGTATCTTCCGTTGGATCAGTTGCCAAAATATAAAATTGCTCATCAGCCTCAAATGCTAAATAACACGATTCAAAACCATCGCCTAGTAATCATTTTATTCGAAAAAAAGTAAATATAAAACAGATTAGATTATTATTAACACATTTATATAATATGTTTATTTGAATACAATGTCGCAGTGAATGGCGCGTTCGGCCATCAGTGGTATTTATTTTATTTATTTGAACACAAATATTGGTACAAAGGGGCACCAAATACATATGCGCCACACAAAATTTCATTTGATTTGCGTGAGGGATGTGATACTGCTCGGGTGTCCAGACCGAAGCAAGTGGTTTTCTTAGAGGGCCACACCCAAAGCCGTTGACCTAAAGGTGTAGTTTACAAGGCAGTGGATCAACGTCAGGAGATGCAGTTTCATGGTAGCCGCCATTTGTCCCTTCAGGATCCTGGAGCCCATGTGCACTATTGGTTTGGAATCAGGGTTTTCAAACTACCCTAGGTGAACCCTCTATATCAACCAACCAGGTTAAAGCACTGGATACTCGCTTTTCTTCCTCTCAATTTCGTAAACAACAACCCCGTCTCGAGTAAGCATTGAGTAGGACTTTCCTGGCAGTGGTTATATACACGTGATCATGTGAGAGCATTTCGAGAGGAAGAGCTAACTCTCACCACCCTCGGTTGTACCAGGGTATTTGGAGGCCATCAACGGAGAGGTGAATGGAGCTGGCTGGTGGGGGTGAACCTGTCTACATCAACCCAGAGAGGGCCGCAAACCACTTCAATCAAAACCATCCACAATATGCACGGCATCAAGATTATCAATAGCGACTCCCTCCTTACTCATTTATGCCCCCTAAACGCCCTGGTACGACCGAGTATGGGAGAGTCCGCTCTCTCTCTCAAAATGTTCTCCTATGGTCACGTGTATACAGCGACTGCCAGGGAAGTCCTGCTCACTGCTTACTCGAGGCGGGGGTGTTGTTTACGAAACTGAAAGGAAGAAAAGCGAATGTCCAGCGATTTAATCAGGTTGATGGATACAGAGAGTTGGAAAACTGTGGTTCCAAACCAATAGTGCACATGGGCTCCAGGATTTTAAGAGAACAAACGATGTATGGATTCATTCTTGGAGACCGACCATCATGGGTCTACATCTCCTAACATCGCTCAACTGCCTTGTGGTTCATACATCGAGGTCAAAGGCTCAAGGAGTGGCCCCCTAAAGAAACCACCTGCTTTGGTCTTGGCACCAAGGCAATATCCAAGTCCTCACATAAATTTTGTGTTTCGTATATCTATTTTGATGCTCTTTTGTACCAATGTTCATGTGTTTGAGTAAAAAAAATATTGGATACAGTACTTCAATATTGTCACATTAAAAAATATATTGCAACACACCTACACTTTTTTAAATACCATTATGCGGAGAAAATTCAATGGAAATTGACGAACAATAACATCATGATTATCTTTCAAGTAAATACTAATCTAAGTATATGGATAATTTTAAGATCCCTTAATATTGAGGGTTATATAAAATACTGTAAGACATCAAAGTGTCAATTATAGAGTGATCAATTGAGAACTTTTTCTGTATACTGATCTATAGATCAACTGATATAATTAGTTTCGTGAGTAATACAGCTTATTGAAGTAGTCTTGGTTATTTCACCAGCAAGAATCTTATTGAGCTGAGATATAGATTTTCGAAGCCTATGAATTACATGCAATTAAACATCTAAAATTCCACTACTATACCATAAGCCTTTATCCGACCAAAAAATTGGAGAAAAACAGGATATACGGCTCAGGACCTTCTTCAAGTTTAGTTCAGCTACAGAAGGCGTGGCTTTTAATATATCTTGGTGGGAGGCCTGTTTATCTACGCGAGGGGTAACAGGTTTATTAAGTGACGTTCAATAATCTTTAAAAAAAAGTGACGATTCATAAGTCCGATCAATCAAACGATAAGTGAACATAAATATGTTGAGTTTAAAAATGTAGCAAAAGCGCTGATCAATCAGACAAATCTCGTGCATTTCACGGCTTCTGTGGGATTCGGAGCGAAAATAAATCAATATTTTTCTAACCGAAAGATCTCATCGATTCAGATTGAGACAAACAAGTTTCGAAGAAAAAGCAGTGTGACAGAACAAGGTGATGTACACATACCTTTATTCACAAAAAAGATGGTGACTAATTAACATTTGGTAATAGTTAGCTATAGAGCCTTTAGTTTATGATTTCATAAATATGGAAATTTTAATGTATAAATCCTTGATTCTCAATAAACTTTAATGAGTATACTGCATAGTATATGCTCATGTTATTGATACACGCTGAACTAACCGTTTAACTGTACTAACAAAAACAGTAGCACAATAGTTTAAACCTCATACACAAAACGCGTTACACAACATAAGGTTGTCTACCTATCAAGAACAGCAGAAATTCACAAATATACATTTTAACAACAAACGGACAATTTCCTAGATTATAACAAAATGTATCGTAAAATATCAAGGCCAATTAAGCATAAATGGTTTGTAATTGAGACGGTTTATATTTCAATACATTAAGTGCAAAAATGAGCGTTTTATTTGTAACAAGACAAATAAACAGAAAACTGAAATTTTTTCAAGTAAAACGGTAATTTTCTAAATAGCCATAAAGTTTTTTTCATGTATGAAGAATGCAGGCGCTCGAGTGGCATACATACAATGTTTATAACAAGGAAACATTGTAAAGTAAGGGCGAAAATGCTTATAGTCAAATCGTGGCGGTGGAATTACAAAGCAAGCACGTTTATCACGTATATAATCAATACTATTATTATTATTACTCGGTATATTTAATAAAAATCAGGTCGAAATTTATTCGTCGTTTCAATCGAATTTTAACGTGATTTCTACTTGTTCAACAGTAAGTATTAAAAATAAGTTTAATTACTTATTGTCACTCATCGAACTTATGTAAACTGAAAATTAAGGTTTTAAACAATAGTATTACCAGTCAAATTCTGAGTTCAGTATAACCGTTTCTTCATATTAAGTTGTTTATTTAAAATTAAGTTTGAAAAAAACTTATTAGCCTGCTTGAACATCTGAGCTCCCTGTCCCTGCTATCTAGATATTTCAACAATTTATCTAATTTTGTTTTAATACATCATTATGGCTATTAATCGCATAACCTATTCAAGTTCGTTGTATAAGTTACAAAAGGCTCAATCAGAGATATCGTGGTTACTCGCACTATGCAGCGAAAAGAATGTACATTATTTAGATGTCGACTGATTGGACTTTTTATTTTATTTATTTTAACACATAGATATTGGTACAAGAAGGCACCAAATACATATGCGCCACACAAATTTCATTTGATGTGTGTGAAGGCTGTGATAATGCCCAGGTGCCCAAACAAAAAAAAATGGTTTTCTTAAGGGGCCACACTCCGAGCCTTCGACCTGAAGGTCTGACCCACAAGGCAGTGGAGCATCGTAAGGAGATGCAGCCCCATGGTAGCCGGTGACCAACAATTGGTTCATACGCCATTTGTTCCCGCAGGATACTGGAGCCCATGTGCACCATTGGTTTGTGATCCGGTTAGAGCGCCGGACATTCGCTTTTCGTCCTCCCATTTTCGTAAACAACACCCCCGCCACGAGAAGGTAGTGAGTAAAACTTCCCTGGAAGAGGCTATATACGCGTGGTCATGTGAGAGCATTTCGAGGAGAGCGGACTCTCCCCGTTCTCAGTCGTACCAGGGCATTTGGACTACTAACTTCCAATTGGCAATCACTCAATATTTATCGTCAGGATCGACCAAGAAGTAAGAAAGGGAAACTCGAAATACTTTATGCTGACAATTCTATATTGTACCAAAAATACAATACTGAATAATGATAATAATAATAATAATAATAATAATAATAATCTATCTCCTTAAACTTATCACTGAAAAATAAGGAGCAATAAATCATATTCATATATAATCTTTTTGAAATAAACACAAGATTCTTCATTTTGAGTTATTATCACTTATCCATTAATAATAAACCAACTGGTAACCATGCTCCAAAAAACAAAAGCCTTGTGTTTACATCCATGAAGTGTACATAAATTTTAATTAATGAGAATTTTAAATTCTATTGTACTATTCATGAACTTGGCTATGTTCTGATGAATCGTGTCTATAACCATCTATGAAAAAACCATATGTGTACTGATAACAAGATAGAGTCCTGATTTTCACAAACAGATCAGGTTCGACAGGAAAACGATGACTAGTCAGTTTTTAAACAAATCAACGGCAGCAGGAAAATCTCGAGAATCCTAAAAATCATTGTGTAAACTCTACATAAACGTTTTGGCTTATTGGAATATACATTGTTCCCTTTCAATTTATTTCCTGATCTGAGGAAGAGTTGAGTATGGAAAAGTGAACAAGGAATACTAGATAGCAAGAGAATAGTAATACAAAGACAGAATAATATCTAATTATATTATGATATAGTAATAATAACAGTAATATGATTTAAAGTACACTTCTCCAAGATGTCCGCCATGAGAAAATGAAAAATACCATACCACTTTTAGAAAATTAAAAGTTCAAACGAGCAAACACTTTACAATGAATCGAAATTAAACTCGAACTTCATTTATGGTTCGCTTTATAACCAGTACTTAATCAATTCACGTGATTTCATGAACTAACAAATACTCACAAGAATAATTTAACACTAAGACAAATTTAAACACTCGACAAACTCATCAACACATAATATCCAGTTAGACGCTAAACTAGGATCCTGAAGCCGTTAGATGAATTAGCAAAACATGGTATCAGAAAATCGCTCAGATTCCTCCTTGATTTACTAATGCGTCTGAAAAATGCACGATATAAAAGTTTATTTCCGCACAAGTGATGTTCATAAGGGTTAGCATTAGTGAATGTCAAGGATAGGACAATAAAATCACAGCTATGCAATTAAATATCATGAGTGAAATACTTCAAATGGGAAAGTGAAGGAAAACCAACAATGGAAACAGCATATAAAACAGAATTTGACTTTGCGAA